TTTTCTATTCAGAGATATAACTTGACGAAGTTCCAGATCCCGGTGGGGTCTAGCCGAGAAAGTAATTAAAAACTGGTAGGTGAGGCGAGCTGTGTTAAAGGAATGACAAATACTCAAACGAATGACAGTTGATTTAGATATACCATTGTCTTTATTTCTAAAAAATTGATTGAAAAGTCTTGTCGCTTGCGTAAGACCTCCTATGACCACCCCATCCTCGCATAATTAACATGGATACGATCATCTTAGCTTAGGTAATGCTAATGCCGCGGTGGTCCCATAACTTTCAACTCTCGTAACTTGAAAAGTACTGATTAGAAAGTAGTGTTTTGGAAAGCTCCCGACCTCAGCTATTAGATTCTAGAATCAAAAATAGGGTGTTTCGTTTAAAAAAATCGATTTGACCTTGACTTGACCTTGGTGGCACCATCCAAGGTCAAATTGATAAGGTCATTCAATAGATCATTTTTAACCTTACATCTTTTGTATAAAACATTTTTCTCAAAAATGATTACTTTTCAAGATATTTAAGGGGTCTGGGACTTTTTATACATCCTGTATATTAGGTCAAATATATTTTTATATAATTTTTCAAATTATTCGTACGTGTAACTTTCAAGCAAAGCTGTAGAAAAACCAGATTCGATTTTCAATAAGCAATTAAAAAATTATTTTAAAATTACACAACGTATGAAGACTTTCAACTGTGCACTTCAAAATTATATTGGTATCATCTTTATTTATATTATTAATAATCTCGTTTTCGAAATTTTGTCCATTAACAAATTTTTAAATGCGGATGTGACAGTTAGAAAGAAACATTTTATATAAAATATTGATCGACACGAAGCGTATTTGTCATAAACGCAACATCATTAAACATGTTTTTTTTATATTAATCTTTCATCGTCTAATATATACCATATATGTCAAACCATTATTTTTCTTACAATTGTTGATTTTAAGGTACACGAATAATTGCAATTGTTATACGAAAATATATTATTTGACCTTATAGAGATAATTAATTGAATTACTTATATCGCATAAGTACATTAAGGGGAAAAAATGGAAAAACAGGATTTTCGCGTGGGACTATCAACGTACTGTCCGCACATTTATTCAGCCGCATCGATTAATTGACGTTTACTAGTGCGATATAGAATGCACACGATGAACGCTCTCGTATTCTCGTATTCTCAAGAATTTCGGGTTGGCGATGCAACGCGCGATATTATTATCAAAATATCTCTCTCTTTCTCTACTTTCCTGATGTATATTTTAAATATTAATCGGAATAAAGTCAGGTGCATTAAATATTATTATAGTGCGTACTTCTACGAAATACGCAACATTAAAATTTGTGAGTGTGAAAGTATCTACTCTTGGCCAATATGTACGTCTTTTAATTTATGAAGTATGTTGTAATGAAATTTAATTTAACAATTAAAGGGATAGACCATTTTGAATCTAAAATTATAAATTAGTTTGGGAAATTGTTTTTTTGGAAAAATAATTGACACAAAGCAAAGTATGTTTTAAAGCATTTGCAGTATAATTCTTTGGGTAAAAAATCATATATCTATTATTATAATATTTTTCTTTTAACACAGTTGTGACACTGATGCTGTTTCACTAATTGCCCTGTTGTCAAATCGACGTTGCGGGAGTCATTCGATTGGAATAGGTACGAGAAACCAAATATTTTTTTGTCTACATATTTACTAAACGAATGCCAATAAAGTTGATTTTGCATAAATTTTAGACGTTTTACTCGTTGGGAAGGAAAAAGTTAAGCGTGTTATATTTCCCGGACAAAACGTTGAAGCGTTCGAAAATATCCGTGTTAGTATGGCGCTTATAAACCCAATGAACAGAACGTCTAAAATCGACGTATGAGACAACAAGAAGAATTCTTTAAAAGTTCTTTGAGAAGCATCTTTAAGATATTTCATAAAGAACTTTGAAAGGTACCTTATATAAAGTTAATTTTGCGTCAATTTTATATATTTTACTCATTGGAAAGGAAAAAGTAAGCGTATTATACTTTCCGGTCATAACACTTAAAAGCTTAAAAATACTGTCTCACACACACAGACACACACACACACACACAACAGGGAAATGTAAAAAATTAATTTTTAACATTAAGTTTTTTGATAAATATCTAGATCAGGGGACCCCCCCAATGACCTTGACCTTTACATATCTTGTCAAGGTCATGACCCTGAGTGACCTTCAACAAGGTTTAGTATTTAAATTTTAAAATAAAGGGTACTCACAGTACATACATCTGAATTAAGAATTTTAATCAATATTTACATCTACAATACCTAGTGGATATATTGCAGTCATAATATCAAAAGAATTTATCAATTCGTTTTATGGGCGCACGACTCTCATTTTCAACTCTCATCCCCCCCCCTTCCCCCTGCTTCAGGGGCTCACGAATCTCACCTTCGGCTCACACTGAACGACTCACCTGAAGTGACTCTCATCCCCCTCCACCCTACTTCAGGGGCGCACGACTCTCACCTTCGACTCTCACCCCCTCTCCCACTGCTTCAGGGGCACCCGACTCTTACCTTTGATTCTCGATTTGAGAGGATTATATAAGAAATTTCATTGTAGCGCAATGAAATTAATTCCAAAAATATTATATTAAAATACATATCAAGAAAAGTTAAATCATTAATTTGTGTACGTACATTGCGCTCAATTTCGTCGTAATTTCCCCGTAGCGTTAATTTTATAAATTCCTGATTAACATAACTTACAGGAAGTTTCAGCTCGATTTCTCGAATTAAATACGGCGCACACTTATTAACATTATCGGTTAAAGATTCTAATTGTTTTAAATGCGCGTCGACACATTTCACAACGTTTTACAGATCGAGAAAGGTAGTCTTCTGCATTACAATAGCCACCGCGAAGGTTCTGCGTATCTTCGACGGCGTTGAATCGGACGCGACCTCTTCTTTTCGGAAATTCCCGCTGATATTTTCCGTAGAACGAAGTTCCACTTCTTCGTCTTTATACGGCAATAATATTGATTTCGAACCGTAAGATGTGGTAAAACTGATAGAGATATTTTTTATGACAACAGAATTCGTTTTCTTTCGATTATCACTAGTTAAATATTCGTTCATGTAGCCTATGTTGTCTTAAAACTGTTTCCAACTGTCGGCGTCGAAATAAATACCGTCAGCATTGTTTCCGCTCAATTTTACAAGAGGCTTGAAGATTCCCTCGTTCGTTCTTTGCTGACCCACATGAATCGTCTTCGTATGGGAGTTGTTGAGACCATACGTTCTCGTAAACAGCATATGAAATCGTGCGTTTCTTCCCACGTCGTTGTTACGCGGCTTGAAAGAATTCGGGTTGGAGTACATTTGCTCGTCCTAATTATTGGCGATTTTTAAGCTGTCCATTATT